ACGCTCATTTGTACATCATTCTAGAGATAAATAAATGGCCTTTTTAGAAAGTGAACCATGGATGGGGAAATGTTGGCAGTTTTCTCAAAAAATGCCCCCCATGACCCCTCCTGGATCCGCCCTGGCATGTAGCATTTCTTGCGTTGTTATTCAGAGCACCACTTACTAGTGAAGGAAATAATCGCGAAATTACCGTTTTTATTGTTGCTATTTTACGCATTATACAATAGAGTCTTTACTGGTCCAGGTCTCACGGTATACAAAATTGATTGAATGTATTTCTTTTATTTTAAGGTCATGCGTGTAATGTAGGGGCTATAGTATTCCACCCTAAAGCCACAATATCACAGCCGGAAAACGTTTGCAATATGGCGTCGTGTGCTGCAGATGGCTCAGTGAAACTATGGGACCTTAAAGGAGAAGAACCGATTGCTGATATAGAAGGCCATATTCCTCATAGGGTATCGAGAATAAGTTTTCATCCTTCCGGGCGGTTTTTAGGCACTTGTTGCTTCGATAACTCTTGGAGGCTTTGGGATCTGGAACAATGCACCGAAGTGTTACATCAAGAAGGACATGTGAAGCCAGTTTACTGCATGTCTTTCCAAACTGACGGATCAGTTTGTGCGTCTGGCGGACTTGATTCATTTGGACGAGTATGGGACTTACGCACAGGAAGATGCATCATGTTTATGGAAGGGCATCTGAAGGCAATATATGGTAAGATACCATTCAAAAATAGTCCTCTGTAGGTAAGCTTGCAAGATCGGTTTATTTGCAGGTATTGACTTTTCGTCAAACGGTTACAACATCGCCACAGCAAGTGAAGACAACAGTTGCAAAATATGGGATCTAAGGAAGCGCGCATCTCTCTACACGATTCCAGCCCACAATAATTTGATTTCGGATGTGAAGTATCAGAAAGAAGACGGCAATTTCTTGGTGACCGCATCGTATGACGGTAAAGTGAAAATTTGGACCAACAAAACGTGGCAGCCGTTAAAGACACTTTCAGGACACGATGGTAAAATTATGTCCTGTGATATTTCCGCTGATAATAATTACATAGCAACTAGTTCATATGATAGAACGTTCAAACTGTGGGGGCCGGAATAAAAGAGACTTGATATAAATTCCAATATCAGACTACTTCATTCAGTTCCAACAATTAGATGTAATTTCTTATGTACAATTTTAATCCTATTTTTGCACACACTAGTTCGACATCAAGTGCCTTATTTGCCTGATCCCTGCCACGTACTTGGCTGAATATCCAATACTTTGCACTTGATACTGATCTGGTGGAATTTTCAATAAAGCTAAGAGCTGTTGTAGATTTTCTGACATGGTAATTCCCAGGTCTTGTAATACGTTGTTAAGATAATCTGCAATAAAATTAACATTTCACTTATAAGTAAACCAGGGATTCGATAATTTTCTAAGAAACTAAAATTGATAAACTACCAACGAGCTCTTAAATTGCTTCAGTTTCCAGACTTTTTCCTTTTAAAAAATCATGGGCTTTTTGGAAACATTTAAGTTCAACAAATCACCTATGCACATGTAGAGTGCATTTGTGCGCCGAATGGGCGTTGAAGTGATATTAATTGAACGCTTGAGCAATCCAAAATCCAAAGCAACAAGCTCAAACAGCGTAAATTTAAATGAAAACTTACTTATATCGTGAGACAATTGCCGACTAGCTGGCTGGCTAAGTGTCGATATTGACAAGACTTTTTCAGCAAAACTATTGCATATTCCTCTTGCAACCTTTTGCAGAAAAATTTGGGCTAAAGCTCCTTCTCTGTCCGGGGCATCAGCGTATTCTTGATCAATAGCTTTTAAAGCGCACGTCAATGCCGGGTTTTCTTTAAACAAAAATGGCTCTAAATGCTGGGGAAGCTCCAGCAAGTACTGACCAATCTAAAAATCAAGAATCTACTAAGCAAAAAAAATTGTAAAACCAGGACAGTTGAGCTAAAAAAATCTAAACTTGGGATTAACAAAGTATTTTTCGAGCATCTTCGTTACCTGTGTGATGTACTCTTGGGGTGAAAAACTATAATCTGGCAAATCAGAGTTATGTAAACTAGACCCATCAAACTGTGCCCATGTTTCTGACGCCGAAACGATTTCCAAGTGAGCAGACACTGGCCCAAAAACAACTTGGTACGTAGTGTGATGCACATCAGTGCACAGTTTATTGAACTCTTTGGTCACATAATCCAAAAGTGATAACTGTGTGCCTTCAGTAACACACTTTATCAAAGACTCGTACTCTTTTAAGTTCTCTGCATCCAGTAAAAAATGTTTAAACTTTATCGAGGTATTGGGCTTGTTGAGCTCTAGAATGCTCATAGTTAGTTCCTTTTCCAAATGCTGCACTTTCAGCAACACATCCCCAGAGTGTTGCAACAGTGAAAAGCTTAGTTGGAAAGTGTTCCAGTTTTCCTTCAGTCTCTTTGATCGATCAATTTGCCTTAAAGCAACTCTAAAACGGAATTTCCAGCATTTTCTTGGATTATGCAAACCTACCTGAAATATCCTGCATAAGTTGAAAAGTATGCCCGCAGGGCAATCAACAAGCCACAAAACCCACAGTTTTCTGTAAACTGTTGACATCTTTTTCGTGCTTCTAAAGCGTGATCCATTACTTGATTTGCACTCAACCCTAAGGCTTGTATTGTGTCTGGCAGCTCATCTTTCATGCAATGTAGAGTGTTTAAATGTTTCACCAAACTGGCCTGTTCATAGGCTGCATATTTACAAACGTAAACCATTAGGTGACGGTAAATCGTTTTTGTGAGGGCTTCCACTTTTGATGCATCAGTTTTTCCTTAAATAATATTCGAATAATTCTTCACTTTATTTACTTGGGCTTGTATCTGGTACTTATCAATTGCACGAAAGAGGAATTTCCTTACGTTTGCTTAGGGATGGATTTTAAGCGTTTTCAACCGTAAAATTGATTACATTTCTTGTATTTGTTTAAATAGTATTATCGGGTAGTGAACAGTTGCAATGCTGAACGTTTTGTCGGTTCATATTTGAATTGAAAGAATCTTGGTTTTATTTTAGTCGCGAATTTTAGTTAATTAATGAATTAATCGTGTATCGAGGACCGGAGTTGAATAACTAATAAAATGTGAAACTTATTTGATTAATTGTGTTTTGTTATTAATAGTAAACTGTTTATAAAATGATTATCAAATTAATATTTTTTGTTTCATGTAATTATAAGTAATGTTTTCGCGACAGTAAAGTCTTTTAAGAAAAATTTTCAGTGTATTTGCATTAAGTACACTATTTCATTTTTGATGCTTTTCATTAACAGTTGCGAGATTAGAGAAAAACATTCGGTGTTTAAAAACAAGGCTATTAGTAGACTCAACATACATTCATTGCATACCTGAAGAGCTTTGCTCAATAACATTCCACAAGTTCTCGGCAAATTGTTTTGAAACTTGCTTAACATCATGCAGGAATGTTAATTTATCCTGCACCTGTTTGAGTGCCGCATCAATGCACTGATTAAAGGATGGATCCAAAGAATTCAGCACGTCTACGTAAATATTAATCAGTGAGTCAACAGCAGACTCGCCAATAAACACCTGGTTAAACCATTTGCATTGTGTGTGCCAATTGGACAATAATATCCCATGATAGTTGTGAATCCATTGAACTACTGATTCATCTTGTTCTAGTTCGAGTTGAGTGCGCCACTTTTTTACTAGCGCATCTTTCTGGCAATTGTGATAGTACTTTACCAGCTGGGTGATTCGCCCAATAGATGAAAAGATGTGAACAAACTTAACTGAGGCTTCTGAAAAATAAATTTACAAAATCTTGGTTTTGATTATCGCGAATCTTTACCTGCATCGGAGGTGGTAAAAGCCTGAACAATCACTGGACTAGCAATGGCCTCTAACCGATTTTTTAAACCTTCCAGTTGTAGTTTTCTGTCTTCGAAATCAGCTACATTTACAAGCAACTTCAACGAACTTTGCATTCCTAATATTTTGCTTGATATCGCTTCTATATTTTTCGAGTCAAATATTTCTTCTAGATCGTTCACTACACAAATATTACCAGTAATAGTAACTGCCAACAGTAGGCAACCGAAGACTTACCCAATACAGTCCAATTGTCACTTTCATGTAAACCCTGTTTGGCAATTGTAAGCTGATTCTTCATTTCATCCAACTTTTCGATAGTATTAATACTCTTTCGAGTGTCTTGTTCAATTTGCACAATTTCCTCTTTGACCTGTCCCATCTTTTCCTTCAATACCAAGGCTTCTTGTTGCAATATTTTAGCATCGTGCATTATTTTCGGTAAAGAGGCTAAAACTTGCTGACTACTGTTTTCTAGGGAATTGTTGACTTGCTGAACGTATAGCTGCAGCTTCATCACAAGGCTCATAGTGTAATTACTCTGAAACTTTTCATAAACCGTATAGAATGAGGTAGATTTATACAGGCTGGGCCATCAAAAAAAATCAGGAAGGCAATTGGAGCGCAGTATAATTAATTTTCAACTCAACATAATTTCAGCAGTGACACGAAAATTCGGATATTTAGCGCAATTGGAGTGGACTAAGAACAGAACTCTCTGATATTGCATACTGACAAATCTGCGAGACACTAACGAAAAATAAGAGGCAAAACGAAATTGCAAATTAAAGGCCAGCATTCCATCTGCTAACAGATGTGTAAAAAAGGAGCCCTCTTTAGGATTGCCATGGATTCTGTTCTTTAAACATATGTAATATATCCATAAATGTAAGGGACTTAAGGTTTTTAAGTGGGCGAAGGTGCAGAAAATCTGGAAACCTCCAGCACAAACTTAGAAGCTATAAATTAACTGTTATAGCTGAACATCTTGATGCCTACTTACGTCTTTCTTATCCTGGTTTTCTCCCGATTTTAACGTGTTGTTCACCCATTGCTTAATGTCGAAACTATCGCTGGAAAATGAGCTGATGTCCTGTAAAGAAAGTACAATCACTCAAAGTAATTTGAAATGTTTTTCGTTGGTTGATTGATTGGCAGGGGTTTCCAATTACCATTTTTTCGTCTTGGGTATTCTAGAGATATTATTCAGTGGGCTCAATAGAGCGGCTGTCTTCACAAGCCACAAAGTAGATTTTGAATACTATTTATTAATCAAAAAGATATACACAATACACCGTTAACCTCATTTCTTCTTCATTACATGACAGATGACCAGCGGGGCGTTGGAGGAAGATCAAAGATGTCATTTGAAAGATAAATTATATTGAAATCTACCATAAATGATTCAATATTGCATTGTAATTTGAAATAATTACAATGCAATTCGAAAGAATAACAACAGTATCAAATTTGTTTCGTAAACATGATTAACTTTTTTTTAATGTGAATATCGAGGGCAATGTAGCCAACAGCAGCAAAGTAGTGTTACTAATGAGGAAATGATTGGGGTTGGTAGTAATGTTGGCCCATATCATGCTGCCAACAAAAGAGAAGACGTCAAACTGGCCAAATCAAAATTCCACAAGAAAACTTTTGGTAATTTGGATTCAGCACGCTTTCCCAGGTGAATTTCCATGGACTTTTTCATCCAGCTGCCTGAAAATAAATGGTAAGTCCCGTTGTAATCCTTCACTAGAAAGGCCATTCATCAAGCTAACCTTTGAAACCGTTCATTTCCAGTTAAAACCAGTTAAGTTATAGCCTAACCAGTAAAAAGTGACTCGAAAAAGTTCATCAGCATTGCAGTCACGCCATTTTATTGAAATCGCACCTTTTTCGAGTAGAAAACAGCCGCAAAATGTCCGGAGAAGAGACCTCAGCAGATCGCAATGTCGAAATGTGGAAAATCAAGAAGTTGATTAAAAGTCTGGAGTTAGCAAGGGGGTAAGTCCAGGTTATAATGATGTGGCATGGGACATATTGTTTAAGGCACCATCTACTGTTTGCCCCTGTTTCGTAGAACAGTAACTTACCAAAACCCATTTGCAGTTCTATTAGAATATGCATATTTCCGAAATCAGCCCCTTGATAGAGTTATAAAGCAATTCGACGCTTAACGTCAAGCACAGGGTACTTTTCCTTTTTATCTGAGCTTCTTTAGAGAATAACGTTACTTATAATTACTAACCCACTCGTGACTCAGCATGTGTTGTTTACGCAATTTGCAATATTTCCACTAAATCCCAACATGTTAACCATGTGCTAAATAGAATATGTTAACCACAGCACTAAGCCATTGGTTTGTAATTGCAGCAATTAACTAAAAATATTTCAAATTTTTACTTAATTATTAGATAAAAATTATATAGATCTACTTAGACCATAAGGCGACGGACAGTAAATTAACTTTGTTTTAGCAAAATTTTATCAGAAAAAGAATCATCTTAATCCACCCAAGCCGGTAAACTAATTAAAAACACCTACCCCAAGATACTCGTTATAATTTAACAATATTTTAAGCTGACTACACTCTCTTCTGCAGCTTCTTCTTAACTCTCCTCATGCCTGTTCAAACTGATTTTATTGGATACTCGCTTGATAATTTAAAACACCCGCAAATATATAAATAACTAAAATAAAAAAGCCAGATCCCAAGATTCTCAGTAAAACTCAGCAGCAGGTAGTTTGGTTTAGCAATTTGAATATGGGTCCCACTCAAAGACAAAACAAACTTTCCATCTGAAGGAGGCTGAATACGATCAGACAGTCCTGCGAACATTAACTCACTGAAGTTTTTTGTCCCTTAAACTTTAGTTTAAGCTTCAAGCTATCCAAAAATATTTTTCTTGTGCTATTATGATACAGGATGCTCAAAATATGAGTATTTCTGTGTACTAGCTGGTCGTCCTTCGCGAACTCGAACAGGAAAAATCGTTTCAAAGACACTGGTTTAACGAGCATTAAAGAGGATCTCTCATATTTAAAAAATATCAAATTATATCGGGTATTTTAAAAGTTTTTAATGAAAACCTATTTTTAGCTGTGTCTCTTGGGGCTTATAGTAGAGAGCCACTCTAAAATATCCATAAGAACTTGTGATGTTATTTTCACACCCTGTATATGAAACGGAAAGCATGCCCACATTTTCCGGGGCACCCTGTATACTCTGGCCGAGTAATTGATTGTTTTACTTGTTGCTTTAGGTCAGAATTTTTTAGAAAGCGTACTATTTTTCTACATACTTAATCCGCTCTATAATAATACTAAATCCCGCCTTATAAATGCAATAATGCATGCGTGGAATTGGAGCGATTTGATCTCGTAAACAAAGACACTTATCGAATATTCACGCAGCCCTTTAAAAACAAAGTTTTCTAATTCGGGGTTGTATTAGGGGTCTGTAGAGTACCCAAGTTTATCACATGTTACGATTTGAGTCAAAATATGACTGACTAAAGTGATGAAAGAATCAAAAAAACTATATCGTTTGCAGACATCTCGAAATCAAGCACACGAAGCTCAAATTAAAGAACATTTGAAGAAAAAAATGCACGGGAACACAAAAACACTTTCAACAATTATTAATAATGCCTTTAATTAATGGAATTCAAACATCTTGAACAAAATATGCACCCGAAATATTACATATTTCGGTAAAAATTGTAATTATCATATTATCATAAATAATTCAATTTAAAACTCTAGTAAGCCAGAATATTTCGGTTTTGATTTGTATCTGTTTCGACTCGACAAGTGTGTAATATATGATCATAGATAGCTATAATTAACCAATGTTAATCTTGCTTGCACTTGTCTTAAAATTCAGGAATACATGTAAAAGAATTGAGGAAGAGATCATAATCTCCGAGCAGCTCATGAAGTTCGGCATCATCCGAGCCTTTATTGTTCATGAAAGAATTGTTTTTATTTTTTTATTCAGTCGCGTATTGCGATCAGTGAAATAAAGATGCTCAAACTTTGATGAAACCAAAAATCTCCCACTTATTTTTGGTAGCTAATTAAACCGGAATCTTTACAAGCTAAATATATCAATAATATACAAAGTTCTGAATACCTAATATGTAAGTAGTACTTATCAGTAAAATTTTGATTTCAGGAATGGAACTAGTATGATTTCCCTCATTATTCCACCCAAAGATCAAATCTCACGTGTTAGCAAGATGTTGGCAGATGAATTTGGAACAGCTTCCAACATTAAATCGCGAGTTAATCGATTATCGGTTTTGGGAGCTATTACTTCCGTACAGCACCGATTGAAGCTATACACTAAAGGTATATTCTTTACATGCAGTGTGACTCAATCAAATTGAACCTTAAATTGTTTACCATTCCCTCTTATGAATCGCCCTGTGTATGCGTATTTAAACACATTGCAATGGAAGTTTTTTTTTAATAGTCCCACCCAACGGACTAGTAATCTACTGCGGAACGATAGTAACTGATGAAGGGAAAGAAAAAAAAGTTAACATCGACTTTGAGCCATTCAAGCCCATAAACACTTCGCTCTATCTATGCGATAACAAATTCCACACCGAAGCATTGACTGCTTTATTAGCAGATGACAACAAATTTGGGTTTATTGTAATGGATGGTAATGGAGCTCTCTTTGGAACATTACAGGGTAACCAAAAACATCTTTCCTGGTACCAGAAATTTAATTACCCTTCTTTGAATTTCAGGTAATACTAGAGAAGTGCTGCATAAATTTACTGTAGATTTGCCAAAAAAGCACGGAAGAGGAGGTCAATCTGCGTTGCGTTTTGCTCGGTTGAGAATGGAAAAGCGGCACAATTACGTGAGAAAAGTAGCCGAAGTTGCGACGCAATTGTTTATCACGAACGATAAACCTAATATTGCCGGATTAATTCTTGCTGGTAGTGCGGATTTCAAGACTGAACTTAGTCAATCTGACATGTTCGACCCTGTGAGTAAAACTTCATGTCTACCGAGCATTTTCCTTGCTAATAGCACTAGAGCATTGCGAAATCGGGAACAAAATATTTTAATACAGTTTTATTCCGTTCACGTTCTGACCCTTTGATTTATAGAGATTGCAAGCGAAAGTAATTAAATTAGTTGATGTTTCCTATGGCGGAGAGAACGGTTTTAATCAGGCTATTGAATTAGCCGCTGAATCCTTGCAGAATGTTAAATTCATACAGGAAAAGAAACTTATCGGAAGGTAAAAGTAATAGGTATAAATCTAAACAGTGAGGATAATTTTGTTTAAATTATTGCAGATATTTTGATGAAATTAGCCAAGATACAGGCAAATATTGCTTTGGAGTCGAAGATACGTTGCGAGGTTTAGAACTAGGTGCAGTCGAAACTTTGATCTGTTGGGAGAACTTAGACATTCAAAGATACGTGTTGAAAAATCACGCAACGGGCACCGAAACTGTATTGCATTTAACACCTGAACAGGAAAAAGATAAAAGCCACTTTACCGACAAAGAAGTACGAGATATATTTTGCTGCGTTATTAATTAAAACTAATGTTTCGATTTATGGTGTTTCAGAGCGGCGTCGAGCTGGAATTGGTAGAATGTCAGCCTTTACTAGAATGGTTAGCAAATAACTATAAGAATTTTGGAGCTACCTTAGAAATTATTACCGACAAATCTCAAGAAGGGTCACAGTTTGTACGAGGTTTTGGTGGTATTGGAGGTCAGTATCTATTGTTTATTCATTTTCTTCGTTTTGTTGTTGAGGGTTTATTTCTTTCTTTAATCTCGACCACTAACATATTAAGAAATTTGGTAAAGTAGTATTTTTGATGGTTTGTTACTAATCTAATCAAACTTCTTAATGCCGCCCGCTTGGATATGTCAGGAATCCTTCGTTATAAAGTCGATTTTCAGTCTCTTCAGGCTGATGAGCCTCTAGACGACTTTGATCTTGATGACTATTAAGGTTTGTATAAAGGACTTAATAATTCCTTTAGCGAGTTGGTTTGCATGTGAAAGAAAGTTTTATATCAAGGCAAACATGCTTTATAACCACAGACATTAATAAATCGACAAGGCTAGGTATTCTTAATTCCCGATTTGTTTGGGAGCAACATTGAATTCTATATATCGGCGATTTATCAATGATAAACAGGTAGAAAGGGTAAAAGTAGGTACCAATCGATATACTGACAGAGTAGATTTAACCCGAAAATGAACTCGCCTGGCCGTTATCCATAGGCGTAGATCACGTCTGGATTAATCGATTTATTCTAAGCATGAAAGGTTCTTTGATTTTCTGACCTTCATCTCTACATTATATCGTGGGCTCAAAGCTAAAAAGACCAAGTCTGAAATATCAATTTTAAATGCACTTTTAACCGAGCCAGAAATTATATGAATCCTTTTGGAAACTTTTTCATTAAACACACATTTTAGTGCACCTGTTTGTGTGGCCTTAGAGGAATTTGTCAGTTTTTGAAAACAAGTAAAAAAATGTTTAATTACTTAGTCAAGAAACACAAATACGACATTTTTGGACGGCAGATTTGTCTTTAGACTAGTAAGACTTATATTAGGTGAAAAATTAACAATTAAAGAAAAAAATGAGTAGCGAACTAATATTTAATGTATTTGCAGGTCTGCTACGATACAAAGTGGATTTCCAGAGCCTTCAGCTAGATGAATTTGATGAAGGGGAATTCGACTTAGATGATTACTAAACGGTAATTGATCATCTAGATTATTTAAGTAAATGTATTTAAAGTAGTAACTTTAACTAAATATACTACTTTAAATAATCCGGTTGATTATATTAAAAATGTAGGAGTGGTGCCCTCGTTTTAAATCACTATTTCTATTATCCAGGTGAGCATTAAAATTTAATTTTTTATAAATTGGATTAACATGTTATTGTATATTTTACTACGTATTAAAATTGTAATCCGGATCTGAGATGGTTAATTTATTTATCGATTGGTAATTTGAACTTTATACAATTCGCTAGTTAATTATTAATGTACCAGGGGAAATAAAGTGAATCGTTACAACATTTCATTATATGTATGCAGGGTTTTAGGCTCTAGAGTAAGTCTAGGCATTATTAAGTTGCTCAAAGTATTAAATATGATTGATTGGTATCCTGATAAAGTGCAATGTTTGCGATGGTACACACATGATTAATCACATAGCTTAATCGTCCTGAACTCAAAATTTGAACCTTGCATATAGACGGGATCGTGTCGTACTTTCATCGTAATATTGAGGACTGTAATGATTTTACGTATATGTATCTAGATTTAAATTTGAGAAAATAGTACAAGTTCTAAAAGTTTCTACTAATGTTCTCTGAGTCAAGCTCATATCTCTTTTTACATTCAGCAAGCGGATGCTTTTATTTATAATTTCATTTATGATTGATTATTCCCTAAAATCCGCACTAAAATAGATTGTCCACTTTTTCATACACAAATAGTGTTTCACTGAATTTTTTTTCATACATGTCTCCGTAACGGCAAATCCCACATTCCTGGATGCTACTCTTATGAAGTCTGAAGGTAATTTTATGTGTAAAAGTTCACGATCCATTTAATAACGTGGAAGTTAATGAAAACTTTCAATTTTCCGAATATTACCATTGTTTTATACTAATTTACGAAACGAATTTACGACAGCGAGTCCAAATAATGTAATTGTGTTAACCAGATTATGAAAATAGGGCTTGCGTACATTATCTAACATTTTCAGTTAGTATATTATCGAATGGTGTAATTATAAAGACAAAAATACAATTTTTATAGAACATAAGATAGAATTTTAATTGTCCTTAAAAAAACATTTTCTAACAAATAATTTTTTGAACACTGCTAATCTAAAGGAACACTGCTGAAAAAAGGTAGAAAGTAAAAGTAAAAAACTAAGAAAGTAAGTTCCTCTTTGATAACTGTAAAATCTTCGAGGTTTCTTGTATATAAATAGGTTTTTCTATAAAATAAAACTATAAAATCGCCCATTACTGGTAAAAATTTAAGCTTAACCCAAAAATTTCAACGGCTCTGCTCAATATTTCTTATAACCATTTAAATAGCTTCCTGTACAGAAACATCGGGGCTACTTTCTGGTACTTCGGGCAAATTAATTTTAAGCGTTCCAAAGCGTTTATCCAAATCATCACTCATTCCGCTGTCATCATTGGGTGGCTGATCTTGATCGTTAATGTCTGCCTTCAGGAGATCTTCGAGCTCTTTCTCCAAAGCTGTTGTGTCCTCATCATTCATTGGGGATCGTGCTAATGCAGATTGAATGTCTTCATTTGTATCGAGTGCCTACAATTATTTTTCCGATTCATTGCCAGGGAAAGTGATAATTTACGTAATCATTACCTCATCTAGCTTAACCATAGTGTCATCTATGGCGTCCTCATCTAAGCCAGTTTCTCTATAAGTAGTATTGAATGCATCCAATGCATTTTTATACGCCTCCCATACGTGTGTATTTGAATGAGTGCCTTTCAGTTGTTCCAAACAGTTCTGTACGTTATGTAACGCACTGGCTTTCTTTTCCAGTTGTTTTTCTAATTGATGCTTCTTCACTAAACAACTTTTTGCCTAATAAAATACACGCAGTTACATTGTTAATCGCGATAGCATTCGGCAAACTCAGTTAAAGGGTTTTAGTTCGATTTTTTTGTGTGCAGGTTTTTAAGAAAATTGATAGGTTTGTAAAATAAAACGTTGGCGTATCTAGAAAAATTCTGTGTGGATGGTGTTGTGACACATTTTGTTGTGTTTAAGTTAATTAATTTCAGTACCAAGTGGTTTCATCCTTTTACTTCATTTTCGGTTCAGTGGCACTTAAATTGTTCATGTAGGTATGTATTTGATAAAACATTTACCTAATTCCAAATAACTTGAACTTCCTCAATCTCCCAGAATTGCTTTCTCTGCTGACGATAACAGAGCGTTTTATCGTCTTGTATAAAAAATTACGATTATTATATTCGCAGAATTGATAAAATATTAATAAATATTTTAAGTTTAATATTTTATAAGTTTTTTGAAACTTGTCTCTTTGCCTTTAAATAAATTAAGTACTTTATAAAGGGGTCAAAGCAATACATATATTGGTATATTTACCAACTGTTTATGTTTCTTCCTTAAATGTCCTTTAGCGTCTTCAATGCAGGTATCGATTTCATCTTCTAAGTTCTCTACATGTTTCGAAATCATCTTTGCGTTCTGTTCCAAAGTGTGAACGGCAACATCCGCATCTGTAATAGGTGAAGCAGCCTGAGTCTGTCCAATTTTCACCAGGAATGTGTCCAATTCATTGTGAAGATTGTGATTTGGCAAAACTTTTACAGAAATATGTTGTTTGTTTTCCAAGTAGTGTAACAGCAATTTGGTGTTTTCTAAATTTCCAGATTCTTTTTTTATGACCTTGAGTAATTCTTTTAGACTTAGAACTTTGTTTTTGAAGTTATCTGGAATTGATTGGAGCAATTCTTCGCTTCTGCTCTTCACCACCTCTAGATGAACATACTGGCTATTCTTGGGTGGAAAGATCGTTTTCTTCATAGTGTTATAGGACCAGGCAAGTGGCCGTTTTATGACAACGTCTGTTAACCATCCGCTCCAAGTATGGGAGGTTTTCTTGAGGAACACTTCGGTAACTTCCACTTCATGATTTTGAATCATATCGGATATAACTTCACCAAGACATGGTGGCGTCCTTCCATGACGAATAAACACCAAATTCAACGAAGACAAAGTGAACGAATAGACGTTATTGCTTTCACAGTATATTTTTATTATCGATTTCCATGACGCGATCTTGTCTTCCCAATCTTTTGCATTTACGCCTTTGTTTCGAAGTGGGGCGAAAAGCACATTTAGACGACTTTCGTCTTTTAAACCCTCGGGCAACTTATTTTCGGGTATATTGAACATACTTACTTAAAACCGATAATGCTTTTCACCTTTGAATTTACTATAATTTCCGTGTAACCTTTGTTGACATTTGTTGAGTGACTTGGTTATGTTACTTCTGTACTTCCTTTTAGATCAATCATAGATAAAGGCAAGTAGAGAGAGATCAATTAGTCTGTGGATCAATTGTATTAAATTTTTTAGCCTATCTCTCTCTGTGTCTTTTTCGTGTTGTCGTATTCCAACTTAAAATTGGAAGAAGAAGACATGTAATTAACCTTCACTATTCCGTCAATTAAATTCGAATTTTGCAATAATAAACATGCAAAAGCCATGAATTCCGATCTACCTAAAAACATTGCCGAAAGCATAGAAGCTCTCTCGGTCCCCATTTTAGAGAGTATTTCTAAAGAAGAGATTGAGGGCTTCAAGCCATACTACGAGCGGTACTATGAAAACAAATACTGTACAATTTTCAACACCGATACCGAAAACAACGATATTCTCTTAAGATTCCACACTAATAGGCTGATACTCGTCTCAATTGCTGCAGGACATGACATTTTTCGTCATAAGAAAACTATCGAGAGTATCGACTTTAATGTGAATGGGACAAATATGCTAGATATAAGTATATCAGGCAAGAAGAAGGCTGGAGCCAAGAAGTTAAAGAAGAACTCGGTTTTGTGCTTTATTAAGTGTAAAGACGACGACAAGCAATATCCAGTTTGCTCATGTATACCGGCATCGTTAATTGAGGTAAATCACCTAGTGCTAGACAAGCCCCAGCTGCTCATTTCCAGTTACAAAGAATTTGGGTTCATTGGAGTCCTATATCCACAACGATCGGGCCCCAAAGCGAGTTCTATTGATAAAATGTTTGCTGATCTCAAACTACATTCAGAAAGTGAATATCAACAGTATCTTGGTAGCAGACGAGAAGCAACTGAAGCTGAAATAGTGCCTTAAAATATTCATTCATGGATGTGAAGTAGATGGCAAATACCAAATAAACTCAGAACTTGGAAATTATAGTAAACTCAGTGCCAGTTGAATAGTTATTATTACCATGAAGTCAAGTTATATGGTAAGAATATATTTAACTTCACTAAGTGCATGCCACAGTTGTAAGCCATTATTTGCTCCTTTTCCTTTGTTTATCCCTTAAATATTTAAATTATAATATAAAAGTATTGATATTGTTCGCTTTCGTATTAAACGCGCTTTTTTCGTCTATGTATTTGGGCAAAAGCATACAAAATAAAACATAAAATCAAGACTAACATTAATTGTATTGATGCCTAAAATGTGTGTAACGAATAAAATAGTCAACTATATAATTTTAACATACACAAATTATATCACAATAATAATTATACAGGCTGTAATTAGTGCTGCACTTAAAAATAAGCTTTAATTAAATTAGAAACGAAAAATAAGCTCTAATTGAATCAATGAGTTACACTAACAAAAAAACACAGATTGGTTCGGATTAGACATAAACGAATGTAATTTTTTAAACACTACAGCCAGCTTGCATAAACTCGATGTGTTAACAAGTCACTTATTATTAACATTTTTCAATTACAGAGACAAGACGCACGTAAATTGCTAAACAACACCTAAACATTCCACAAATAAAATAGATTTTGAATATTTCAAAGTTTGCAGGAATTCTCCTGCTTACTTATGTGTAACATTTTTGACAAATCATTGAAAAATATTAAATCACTTCCTTGGATCATTATTCGTGACGTTTTTATTCTATTCGCATTTCCAATTAAAAACTTCAAATCGGAGCTTAACGTTTCCTACATACTTACTTCCTAATTTAAAGTTTAAATTTCGAGCAACTATCATCAATTTAAGTTGTAGCCATAAAGATTTTTCTATTTTCAATTGTAATTTAGAAAAATCTGCATGAACTGAAATCTAAAATGTAACCAGCAGATATCAGTTTTTGCGGTGTCTCACAAAATGTGAATTTGGTTCACGAACAATTTCGTCAGAAAACTTTTACCAAAATCGAAAACTATAAAGTAAAGAACAAAAAATCCGGTTTTATAATTTTTTCAAAAATTTAAATTTACTATTCTAAATAGAATGAATAATGAACCGAAAGAAATAATTTACAATGATGAATGAAACTCGATAATCTTTCAGATGCCCTATAAACAATTGTCTAATTTAAATACTTATTAAGTACGAAAAAATTTGAATACCTTATTTTTCACGGTGGATCGATGTAATTGCATATTTGCGTGGGTACTTTTCAATTCTGATCAACTATTTCTTATAGCAATTTTAGATTTTGGCCAAAAATGTACTTTTCCCTTTCATATTCTTTGAGAATTATGATATACAACCGATAACCATTGTTTGGTGGTTGCATTTTAGGGTTCAGATCATGCGGTCTTTTTCATGAAGAATAAGATTTATATAATGAATACAAAAGTTTTTTATAATTCTACACCTTAAGTAGACCCACTTTCCACAAATATCACACGAGATTTCAAAGCAGTTTCTAGTCACAATGCACTTTGAATTATTTCAAATATACATTGTTTAAAACCAAGTACTCCTTTAGCTTGTAGCATCTGGGTATAACAATCAAAACCATGATTCAATATTGAAATTTTTAAAACAACTTCAAAATATAGCTTAGAAAAACGTTGTATTGTCAGCAACAACAAACGAATTTGAACAGTTTTGTGAAACATAAACTATCACTTGTACTTAAGTCTGACGAAAATTTACATCACATCCAAATGCCAATCTAAGCATTTGCAAAATACGTAGCAGTAAGTAGTGCCGCCAAAACCCTAATCACGTCTACTCTACCTAATGACAGGTGAATAAATGTGCTTGTTCTCTATCAAATAATAGCTAATCACTGTCGTGATAATGCTGCAAAGGTACGTTTTCATATGATTAAGTCGTCGCCAACTTTAACAAAATTATGAGCCAGTAATTCTTGAGCCGAAGCTCGTTCTTTGGGATCGTGCTTAAAACACAGCTCCAGAAAGTCCAGCCCTTCATCTATCATATTTTCGGGTGGATCAGGGCTTCGGCCCATTCCCACTTTGAACATGATTTGGTAGTTGGAATCATACTGAGCCCATGGACGCTAAATACAAAAATATTTCAGACTTTATTTCATAACAAAGTGGACTTATTAACTTTCACTTTCGCGCAAATGTTCTCAAAAAACTTGCCAGTTTTATTATAAAAAAATCTGTATTATCCACTTACCTTTCCTGAGGCCATTTCAGTAACGACACATCCAACTGACCAAATATCGGCTGCTCGCCCATACCCTTCATTCATGTTTTTAGTAAACACTTCTGGGGCCATATAAGCTGAAATATTAAAAAACATATAAAATAGGCAAATATGTATTGAGGATAGGATATGAGTTTTACCTTGAGTCCCGACAAATCCTTGAAGCTCTCCTGGCATTGTCGAATTGCTTTTGATTTTCGCAGCACATCCAAAATCTCCAATTTTCAAACGATTCCCTTCCTGTGTTAAAAATATGTTTGCTGACTTTATGTCTCTGTGAACAATGCCATGCCCGTGCAAGCAAGCAACTCCGCTTAGTAACTGATAGGTGTATTTCCGAACTAATAACTCGGGTAGTCCGTTTTCTGCGGCTTTGATGAGATTTTCTAGTGTACCCTCGGCGCAGAATTCCATAAATAACATCATTTTATCCTAGAAAGAATGTTTATGAAAATGTCTTTAGCTACCAATCAACCGCTGATGCTTACTGTATAAACTTCAACGCCGTAATACTTTACTAAGTTGTCATGGGATATGCCTTCTAATATCTTCATTTCAGAGGAGACCCGCTTGATTGTTAACGAATCATTATGTTGCAAAGGTATTTCTTTAACAGCCATCATTTCGCCTGTATTATTATTAACCGCCGTGTATACTTTTCCAAACCGACCTTGCCCTGTAAGATTCAACTGATATAAAATAAACTCTCTTTTCTCCGTATTCATTAGCAAATCTGGCAATAAGCAACTTACCTATTTTAATACCTCTTTGCCATGAAAAGGTAACATTTCTCCTGCGTACTTGATTGCTGTTATCCTTGTTACATTCCAAAATATTTCCGATCAGCTGCTCTTTATGTAGTTTTTCATCTATTTTACTTTCCAAATTTTCGATCGCATCTCTGATGCGCTCACAATGCGTTTTAGGTGGTAACTTGATTTTAACGTGACTGTTGCTTCGGTCTTCTCTTCTCAAACTACTAAATAAAACCAAAAATTTTAATTTGCCACATTTGCAATACATTTTAACTAATATTGTTACCCAGAATTTGTAGTGAAACTACTATTTAAGCTTTCTAATGCTTCAGTTCCGGGCGATTGTTGATCTACGCTGGTTTTTCTTGTAGGAGCCGATCTTTGGCTTTTATAAGTCGCTCTTGGGCTGGGCGATGAACCTCTCGATTTCGATCTTATGTGCTCCAGAGCCATTCGAGGTGATGTTGTGTAGAATCCGCTTTCAGGAGTTGACGGCGCAGTAGTTCCTAAAAATAAATCAACATCAAATTTTTATTATTAAAAATCCAAATGTTGCCTGATTCTTCGTGCAATTGCCGATTTATTTAAAAAACGATCTATCCTAGTGTGCTAGTGTTCGATTTAATTCAACAAACGTACCTATTAAATGAGATATACACTCGTCCATGCTTTTTTTCAGATCCTCAAACTCCTCGTCAGTAAGATATCTTGTATTTGCAGGTTCACATACAGTCAACAAAAATTCCATGCCTTGATTTGCCCATCTAGGTCGCATTCCTTAAAAAACATTCTATTAGAGAATGTTTTCTGACAACGATGCAATTGAAACATACCTCTGCCTCTTTCACACCTTTCCGTGACAAAACACATCCACAGCTTGGCAAAATGGACCATACCATACACAAGCCTTGATCTGGATTCAGTTGGTAGGCCGTCAGTTATTTCCTTATAAAACTGCAACATTTAGAGCAATTTACAAACAATGGTTTTGTTAAATTTTCTATTATTCGCATCAACATGCAAATTATGGACGATTTAACGATCAAGAAAATAGAGTCGAAATTTACCTCAAAACCCAATCTATAGATTTGCATTAATATTTCCCGGATTCTGCTAGTTAGAGCGTGTTTGTCCATATCGTCGAAGGTGTCTAGTGTTGTATAGTCGAAGAAACTTTGTACTTTTGCAATGGCTTTTGGGACAATACATTTAAATGCTACAATTGAATCCTGAAATAAAAAAATTGTCGTAGAAAACTGGGGTTTTTCCAAGTTCAATCCAATCTGTCATCAAATCAAGCTAATTCGCATTAAGGCCTACCTTCAACAATATAGATGCCTCAGGACTGACATACTTAAAGCAATGCTCTTTAACCATTTGCGTAAATGACAGAGTTTTCATGCTCAATTCCCGTTCATCATTAAATAAAGTCTGCAGCTTTCTGCACACATTAAACATCGCTTGTCTAGGAAAACAACAATTAAATACCCAATTGTGGGATGCCAGTTAAATGGTTCTTACTTTAAAGTATTAACATCCTCCTTACTGATTTCATCCAAGAATTCGTCAATTTTTTCCAACAGTCTTACAGCTATTCTCTCCAAGATACTACTTAAAATATGAGCATATTTATTGGCAAGCAGTTGGTTGCCATTTTCAATATATTTCATCACTGATAAAGAGAACTTAAACTCCTCTTCAAGGAGGTTTTTCTGAAAAGTATTATGATGGAACAAAACCCATTGTTCCAGATATTCTAAATAATCTTTAAACACTTTCATCATGCAGACTTCGAATGTTGCGAGTGTCTCTTTATGAGTATCGGGCATAGTTTCGGTTCCTGATTTCACCGCTGCTATATATGTATCTACACGATCGCGTTCTCTTGCTGCTATCCTCAGTCCTAAAAATGCAACTTTAATTAACCAGATAATGTTGCCTTAATAAGTGTATAGGCTTAAGTTTTGTTACGCGCATATTATGCCGGGATTATATATTATTATCTACGCCCTAGATACTATTATCTAAATTATTAAAATTATATATATATGTATCCTATTATGTTCTTAATGTAGCGAGTATTACCTTCTTTCAGTTCCCTCATGAGTTGCCTTACACTGAGTGGTGAGGGATTTCCAGGCTTCTGTTGCAACCTCATTTGCAAATACTCTTTAATAACTTCTAACGGTACACCAACCAGGAACAGAAACATAGAGCGGTAAGGTGGCAAATCGAGGTCTATTGCTTCAGGACTCCAACTGCCATATCTGATTAATTCGTCCTCTTCAGTATCACCGATCACCTGCAGGAAATCAAATATTTAGTGCTAAAAACTTATAAAATATTTCATTAACGCTGATCAAAAAGTGAAGTATTAAACTCAATAATAATTTATACATAATTAACGCAATAATAATTTTATAATTTCAATATTCTTGTTAGACTAATAATTTATAAATGTATCAGGAATAGGTAACATGGAATTTAATTTCCTTTTGAATGTAAAACATATTTCTCGATCTCCTCGTGGAAAGTACATATAATCTAGAAAGTACATATAATAAGTATATCATTTAATAGTATATTTGGTATATTCTGTAACGCTGAGGAAGGTACAATACGTCCTCGGTACTTGTCTATCTTTGCCAGGGATAACGGGGCTGTGACGAATTCCGATGGAATCGGACCGTGCCATAAAAAGTTATCACTTCAAAAAGGGCTTACTTACTTTTGAAAATAGCTCCATATCGTTTGGTTTGGTTAAAGTAAGCTGCACTTTGTGCAAAACGTTATTGTGAAGTGCTTCCAAAAATGATAAGCTTTTATACAATGCCCTGGTTTTCAGTATATTCTCAATATACCGTCGATACGGCGATATATTGTTGTGGTCCTTTTTTGAAATCAATTGAGCCAGAGGAACGATGTTGTACATTTCGTTTTTAATCATAATGCTCCCATCGCTAATGGATGAGCCAATGCTATTGTTACTATCCGAAGATGATCCAGATGAAATTTCATCGGACATAACTGGCCAGTTTCTAGGCTTGGATTCCAGGCAAAGCACCAGACGTGCGAGAATGTTAAGTTTCAGTCTTTGCATTTGTGTCATGTTGAACCACAGGCTTATAGCCTTCACCTAAATAATGAAATGGAACATAAAAAGCCAATCTACTAAAGTTAATTTCAAGCTTACCCTGCTTACAAATTCAGGACTATTATACAATGGATACAGCTCAGCAAAAGCTTTTGATGATGGAAACAAAGACTCTGCGTCCTCTAGTTGTCTCATCAAGCCTTGAATTTCTCTTAGAGCTTCATTTTGGGCTTCCATACAGGAACAGCAATAAACTGAATCGCATCCAGGACAATCATCCTCTACACCGCTATCGCTATTTTGACTGCTATATTTTCTGTGGTGTCTAAAACAGTCCACGTCAACAATATTAGGAAAATCCCGTTTCTTTAATTTGTATATTACCTCTCAAATTTGTAATTCATAATATTTTGCAGTAGAGGCTCAACTGATTCTCTGGCTGAGCAAAGATATTCATCTTCTTCAATTGGCGTTCTCTCAGCATGATAAGCTTGCAATTCCAGCCATATGAGATCTTTCAGTTCAGTTTGCCAAATTGATTCTTCTCGGCTCATCTTAAATCGACATATTATTTATTCCACGCATTTGAATTTACTATCCCACAATTAAGCTTCTTAACCCTGAAACTGTTGAGGTATTTCCGGTTTTTAAGCGGTCGTGAAATATAATTTCTTACCGATGTTTCGAAGCATGAGTGGCTTGCATCTTCAGATGGGGGTTTGTTTCAAATCTTACGTCTAGCAGTGTATATAAGAAAGTGTGTATAAGAAATTCCATTTCACGACGACCTATTTAATAGTCTTCCTGTATCTGAACTAATATATGGGGTGTTTTATTTAAAAAGATGTAATTAGAGCAGTTTTTATCTCTAGCTGAAAGATCAGTTTCATTTCCAAGACATCCTGTATAATTTGTAAAAAAATTGATGTACGCGGCTCAAACACAGGGCTATCCTAACCCAGTACCAAAATGTTACATTTTAAGATATCGAAATCGCGTTGTAATGCAATATTCCTTGGAGCTGTTTTAATTAAAAATAAGGAATTTTATTTAATATTTCGGAAACTGCTTCAGATAAATATAGGACTCTTTAAGCAAAAATAATCAGGTGTATTAAGCGAAGTTAACCGTTCAATAATATACAGGGTGTCTCATTTAAAATATCGACGTTATATGTACTTTTCAATATATGCGGCAACCTCGCATTGCTGAAAATACGATCGGACGATAGAGCATATCGGCTAACTTCGTTGTACCAAATTTCAAACAGATCGTGCATCGCGTGCTCCTTAAACGTCATCAGCCATCGACCGTGAATCACCCTGTATATTTACATATACCTTATTGTATTAATTTTTCAAATACTTACTCCTCTTCGAGTATGTTTCTCTTCTTTGCCAACGCCCATTCTAATTAAGAGGCTCAACGTTTGATAAAAATCCACCCTACTTTGCGGACATTCTGCAGTGGAAACAGGACTTATAACTTTCGGATCACTTGGCTTGCATTCTTCTGATTCTTTCAATTTTTTGTCACATGGCAGCGTCCGGCCCATTAAGCACATGAAACTAAATTAAATAAAAATAGTTTAAATATTTTAAATATGGAACCTAAAAATATTCTGATGCTTTTTCATGAAAAGGGCAACATGGTTAATTATACAGAAAGGTGCGAATTTTAAACTGGTTTCAAAACTAAAAAATTATAGAAATATTTTAGTAGATTTTACCAAATTAAATATCACGGTTTTTTCGTCACCCTAAGACCATTACTTAGTAAATGCTGGCAATATTAGCCTTCGGCTCTCGTTCTGTATAATAACGATAAAGAAGACTTCCGAATTTGTATCCAAACTTCTTCATAAATAATAATTTTCTGTTGATTTTAGAAAACGGTCTCAATTTTTCTTCAAAGCGTCTGATTTTTTAGACGTTAGAAAATTCTGATAAATCCTCATTGGAACTGACTGAATTTTTCAAACAGTTTCCGTGATATCCAGGTTTAAGCTTGGGCGTTGCTCACAAATTTGTAATTTTTGCTTCTATATCTTCACCGATTTGAAATTTATGACGGATACTAATGATAACAGATTTAGTTTCCTCAAAACTTTACATTTTTTCCGATCGGATGCAACTTACCGCTTGCAGCTTTCAATAGAATAACTAGGAGTTTTAGGTTCATAATTATTTTGCCAATATGCTGCTCCAGGATTCTTATATGGGATTGGTATACCTTGAGCTGAAGCTTGAGCACTGGCTATGTCAAGCTTTAAATCCCGCTCAGAACCCCTGAGAAGCTTGATCTGCCGTTTATTAGACCTTTTACTACTACCTGTAAAGAACGATTATAAACTAAACATGGTGCTTCTTAAAACATGCAAAAATGCAAGGGCGTTATTCATGCAGCCATCATGTAAATATATGTTGTAAACTTGAAAACTTTTGAATGGCAATGAGAAACATACGCAGCTTTTAAGCATCAAATAAAATTTTTATTCTTGAGAATGCCGAACTAGTTAAACCAGATGTTATTATTCAGAGCTAGAATAAATAATATTTATTTTTTACGAAAACCGCTCGACAAACAAAAAAAATGAAGAAAAGTGATTTGTTCAGAGATGAATGAGGATTTCAAAAATAGTTTGTACTTGAAGAAAGGGAAAGTGATGTAATTAACTTGAAAACTGGTAACATATCTTGAAAATATGCTGCCGTGCAAATCGAACAAGAAAGCCACTAGCAATATTACAAAAAAAGTGGTACAGCTAAAAATACCTTCTGAAGTATATAAAATGCACGATTCTGGAGTCGTTCCAAAGTTATCATAAAAAATTGCATGTTTTTACGACCTCAAAAATTAAGGGCTTTAAAAGAAGTGCAAAAGTTAGGATCGTACTTTGTTCATGTGAAGTTTTTTTTTGAAAACTAAAATGAACTCCTTGAATAATGGAATGTTATTAAGAAACAAGCTGTTTATGAAATTATTAAGAGATGAAGGTATGGGAATGTTTATAAAATTTCAATTTATTCTTTGCTTCGACGAGACAACAACAGATATAATAATGAGATTTGAACGGGAATACTGAGTAGTAAACAGTTTTAATACATCTGTAATACGATGCCATTCTGGTCAAAAATATAATTTTTGATTCAAAAAGACATGTATCAACACGTGAGTGATGTACAAAAATAGATTAAAAAGTGAAATGTATTTTTAACGCATCTGTTTCAGTTTTAGAGTAAAATTTGACGCACTTTGCTGATTTAAACGATATTCAGAACTGTGGCAAGAAACATACCAGGATCATGTTAGAAAAACTTGCCCTAGTTAATCGATTGATATTTAATTTTGCCCATTGCTTTGAAAATATGTTTACTTCAAGCTAATATTTTCGTTGTTATACATTGATATTAATCAGCAAAGTTCTAAATAATCAAATATGAATGGAAAGCTTAAAGTTTTACCTTGCTCAGAATCTGATTTATCAGCATTAGCAATCAGCTCATCGTACATTGTGCTTACGGTGTTTCTCCGAGTCAATTCGTTCCGTGTTTCGTGATACTTTGAGGTGGGTGTGTCAGACCTACAATAAAACCAGTATGTATTTAATTTATTGGAAAATGGGGGTTTTATTAGCAAAACAAAATGCTTAATAACATAGCGAAGAGATAACTGATAAGAAAAAACAAACTGAATTATTGTCTTGATATGGAACATACTGGAAATATATTAAGCTCGTAATTAGCATGTACTGAAAACGTGATTAGTTTTCCTGGGAACTTACATGGAAAATTTTTGTCTCCTTTCACGATTTTTTCTGGATATCCTAGTTCTGGGGGGTGTCTTACCATATATGTCCCAGACACTCAAATCGTCATTAGGGCTTAACTCTTCGTCCATAGTCAATTTGCTAGCAGAGTATGCAGGGTTTTTCTCCAATTAGACAATTCCACTCATTGGAGTGCACATATATGAAGGGAAAGAGTGGAGAGATATTGCAAAATTTAACGCCACTTCAGCGGTTTCGTTATGTAAATATAATATTCAGATTAAATCCATGATATGTTGAGGATGTTTGCTAAAGATATTAGAATGATCCACCACCTAATTAACCGGAAATATTTACATAGGACCTAGTACTGATAAATGGAACATTATGTTTCAATGCACAATAGATAAACTGAAAAACTCAAAATTTCACATAATATTTACACAATACCATTAAAATTGGCATCACAGATCACAGAGGTTATCTGCCCTCTGGCATAATCTTAACTGTTCCAGAGATTGGTTAAGTTCCAGGAAATATTGCAGCGTTGTCAAAGTGCGCACACTGAACTTACAAACGCTGAACAAAACTCTTTGAAAAAATCACTAAATTTTGAAAAGCCTTAGTAGTTAACTGGTTAGTGCTCGGAAATAATTACAACAAATAAGTAATTATATAAAAAATTATAAACTTTCGTTAATCGAACGCATTTGTCAACATTGCCGAGTGCGTTTGACATTCAAATATTTATAAACATATCCAGCGCCAAATAAAGCTCAGAAGAAGAAAATAAAGCTTTACAAATTAAGTACCATTGTCAATCTTTGTTTATTTTTGTCTATAGGTGCATATTGTTATAGGGATAAATGTTTATTAGAAAGTAAAAATATGATTTTTAAACACTTGCAAAGAAGTGTCTCTACAGTCAACTACATCCCTCGAACTATGTCAACAAGGACCAACGAGAAAAATAGTAATTAATAGTCAACCTATAATTGTCTTTTTCCATCCAAAAATGTACTTTTTAGATATATTAGTAGAAAGATTAGGTGAAGTAACTACAATAGGAATAAATAGGCCGGATAAAAGGAATTGTATTGATCATGAAACAGCTGAAATGCTAGAAAATGCGATAGCTGATTTTGAAAAAGACACTGACGCTCATGTAGGGGTTTTGTATGGCACGGGAGGAAATTTTTGCGCCGGTTTTGATTTTGATGAAATTGCAAACTTGGAGGACTTGCAAAAGTCCACAACGGACCAAAAAGCGCAATTTTCAATCGTATGTATTGAATATTTTGTGCAAAATTAATAATTGCATAATTTTTAACTAGCGGAAAAATTTTCGGAAATAATAAAAAAATAAACAGAAATATTAAAAATATATCAGTTTGTACAGGTGGAAATCAGTTTTAAATTTTGTAATAAATTGAAGTAAAAGCACAGCACAAAAATATCCATTTTCCACAGACAGCCGAAAAGCCCAGATAACCACTTACCACTTTCAAACGATGGTCGCAAAAGCCTAACTCTTTTGACGATTACTTCCATTAAATACTTATGCAATAATAATTTTAATAAAGTATATTAACATATATTCAGTTACAATCAAGAAAATTCTTGAGGAAACCAATGATAGCAGCCCTTAGTGGATATGCGGTGGCTGGCGGCTTAGAATTAGCTCTCTTATGCGATTTAAGAGTGATGGAAGAAACTGCAGTGGTTGGTTTATATGCTAGAAGATTTGGTGAGTGAAATTTATTACAGATATTAGGTGGTTATCATTTGTATGTTGTGTATATTATTGCAGAAAGGCTTTGGAATGTATAAGAACTTTCGTCAAAACTATATTATTTCATTAAAGTGGACTTGCAACTAGATAGACAAGCTTCAGAAACTTTGTAAATAATGTTTGTAATAACGTATGTAAATTTTCCGGAAATGTATGGAAATATTGGGAAAATGTATATTTTTCAGATAATAAACAAATTCAAAGAAATGAATCCGTCGTCGGGGACGATAAACTTGTACGCATTGGAATTCCATTAATTCATGAAAATTTGCGACAAGGATTTAAAGAGAAACAACAAATAAAACGTTAACAGTTGACTTGATTGATAATCATTTAAGCTAAACTTTAAAATATCTTAGCAAACAATCTTTTAAATGTTTAATACCTTTTAACCTCTTAATCAATTTTCATCATTTTTAATTTCTATCTGATATACTGATTGTCTAATTAATTAAATAAAGTTTTAAACCATTTAAAATATGCTTGATTTTAGGTGTTCCTTTAGTAGATGGTGGTACTGTGAGATTACCTGCAGTAGTAGGACTATCTCGTGCATTAGACTTAATTTTAACTGGTAAATCCTTAAATGCAAAAGAAGCCTTCGAGTGGGGTCTGGTTAATAGAATTGTAGCCTGTGGTACAAGTAAATGTCTTCTTACTTGGTTTTCAAATATAGATTTAATAAATTGAACTTCAGGTTTGGGTCAAGCATTGCAGCTGGCGGTATGTTTAGCAAAGTTCCCTCAAGAATGTCTTAGCAGTGACAGAGATTCAGCCTATAATTCCGCCTTCAGTCAAGTGTATGCTGATCTCATAAAGTACGAGAAAGACAATGCAGATAACATTTCATTAAAAAGCATAGTGGAGGGTGCGAAAAAGTTTATAAGTGGCGTTGGGAAACACGGAAAGACGTATAATCTACGAGAAAGAGATTATCTGGACTGGGAAAAGGAATACAATCAGACAGCTAAATGTAAATTGTAAAAAATGTGTAGATAATAAATCGGATTAAGCTGATTATTTGTTTATTCGAAATGGCCTGAAAGAGGAAACCCGAACATGCAGCAGTACAATTTTTTTTCTAAAATATTTATTTCTGTACTTTTGGGAAAATGATAATGCAAACTAACGCTGTAGACTCTAAACAATCCAAAAATATATAATAAGAACCATACAAACTTCTACCTCACAGCTTATGTAACAAACACGAATTATTTAACCAGGTGGCCAGCTCATTTGTCGTCCGCCTAATATATGCAAATGTAGGTGGTACACGGACTGGCAGCCCTCTTTTCCATTATTAATAACTAAACGGTATCCATTTGGCAATCTTTGCTGTGCTAATTTCTTGGATACGAGTAAAAGATGCCCTAAGATCTGCAAATAGATTTTATGTTTTTGTCTGTCTATTTTAATGTTTTTTTGACACAAGTGAATTAGATGATAAGATTTTTATTGGAAATTGCTCTAATTCTTTCTTATGAAACTTGCTTGTTAACTGTACTAAAAGAAATAAGAAACTTACATCTTGATCATTTTGTTCACATTTATCCAGCATAGGAATCGGTTTTTTTGGAATCACAAGAAAGTGAGTCGGTGCTTGAGGATTCACATCGTTAAATGCCAAGCATTGATCATCCTCATAGATAATATCAGCGGGAATCTTTTTGGCAATAATCTTGTCGAATATCGTTTCAGTATTTTTATCAAATTTTGCTTTTGTAGCTTTCTCCACTTCGCTGCTCATCTAAAAACATTCATAATAAAATAATTTAAATTTATATTATTGCCTTTTCTCTCAATATTGGCTACATTTCACAATTAAAACGTGCTTATTGCAATTCAAGAGAATCGTGAAAACAATGTAATGTAATTCAATGTAATTGACATTGAAACATTTTTTAAGTTTGTTTTAGTTTCGGATTTTCGTTAAATCTGTTAAAACATTTTAGAACGTTAAATTATTATTTGCTAAACCACCCAATTGTCTATTTTACTCCGAAAAAGCACCTAATAAACATTTTTTTAAAATAGAATAGTTTTTCAGGGTGTGAACCTGAAATTTAAATTATGTTTATTACAAAATTGGCAAGCTCGTTAAACTTATCGCAGTTAGAATTATTTGTATCCAAACAGCTCATAGTCTCATCAACAAGAATTGTACAAATCTTCTGATTTTACCAACTGACATGTTTTTCGTCGCGCTTATCTTTAGAAATGGTGTTTACGATGAATGTCCTATTTTCAGCCCTTCTGCATCTAAATCGAATGCAAAAATATATACCTTTGAGGACCCATTTGGGCGCAAAAGCCTTGTCCTGATCAAAACTATTGTTTCGATCCGGCGTTTTGCTAACAAGATCTGCCTATTTGCAAGAGAAAAAGTATTTTCAGCAAATGAAGATTTTTAGCGGCCGAAAACCCCCAGTAGTTGCAGCATCAAATAGTTTCACTGCGTGTAAACGCCTTCGTGTACGTTTTATAAAAGCCGACCGTTTGCTCATATCTCAAACTGGAAATTATTTTCTTTTAGCAAAAAGTATCTAGAGTATTTTGAAAGTGAAGCTTCAGAAACAGAAGTGAGAGCAACTTCCCCGTTTCTTCGGCTTTTCAACGAAGAAATGCACCGTATGTGAGTTTTTGAGCACTGAAAAATACTCAAAATTTCGACGCAATTTTAGCTTGTCTGAAATATGCTAATTTTTATCAAAATTCAGCTGGTAATCACGTTGAGCTTCAATACAGTGGCTTGCTCAGATTTTTCATATCTTTTTTGGTTTCGAAGATAGTTATGTTTTTTAACAATGTCGTTGTCGTTCAGCGACCTCCTCTGCCAATCGCAACCTTGCTTCACTTATAATCTTGGTTTATTTTAACTTGAAGTGAGGCGTTTTCGTGAATACTTTGGATTAAGTTGGATTATCTGATGTCAATTCTGGCATTGTTCATAGTCGAATGCCTTGGTAGTCTATAAAAGCCATGTGTATGGAGATATTATATTCGTGAGTCTTTTCTATAAGAAGTTTCATTGTGTGGAGATGATATAATGTTCTTAAACCCCGTCGAGGCTTTCGACGGGGCCTGTTCCACTAGTTGATACAGGTGAAATTTAAGTGTTGTCTAAGTCTGTTGGTTAATATGTTTGAGAATTGTTTGTATACTTTTGTGAGAGCATGCTTATCGGGAAGTAGTTTTCAATGTCTTTGTTACCGCCTTTCTTAAAAAATGAAATAACTTCTGCATTTTGCCATTCTGTTGGTATGCGGCTTTCCTCTAAGCATCTGTTAAACAACATTTTTTATGATTGTAGCAGAGAATCGGAACCGAGCTTCAGCATTTCGGTTGTTTTTCTATCCTCTCCAGGACATTTCTTATTCTTCATATAACTCGGAACTTCATATAAGACGGTACGCATTTCGTTTATTGATATATCCGGCATGACTTCATATTTTTAACAAATGCTTTTTGATTTCTTGGTGGTTCCGCAACAGACAATGTGCAGGGTTTTGCATATAAATTTTCACTGCTTGAATTATGCCCTTTCTGTCATTAACTACAATAGTATTCATACAAGTTATCCGTGATAAAATAAACCTTTAATAAAAGCTAGAGGTCCCGAATTGCTAAGTTTCGATAAAAGGTGATGAAAGCTGTAGGCTTTTAGGAACACGGTTTTAATAATAATCAGAAGCCTTAAACTGGCTTTTACCTGGAGTGGAGCACAAATTGTTTTCCGAGCATTTGCAATCGATGTCAATCTGAAAGCTTTTTGTAAAATTACTCTCATTTTGAATGGTTTTGAAAAAAAAATAAATAAAACAAGTTGGTTGTGTGTTGCTCATTGCTAAGGTCTTCTTTTTCAACCACAGTAGACACATAGACAATAATTAGAAAGAGATAGATTATATCTGTATTCAAGTGTTTGGTTTTTTTTACAGTACTTGCTACGTTTTGTAGTGAAATTATTGGACAAATAAAAATGTAAAAAATAGCTCAAATTAAAAAAAATATGCTTTAATTCTGGTTCAAGATAAAAAGTAAGATTCAAAAATATTTGTATGTTTATTGCGTCAATATTGCTGGTTACAATGGACGTCAGTAGATTATTAATAATTAATTGAAATCATGGTATATTTTAAATGCAAGTAGTTGCGTGATTAGTTTTTCGTGAAAATATGTCACCGTCCGTTTGAAGTTGATATTCCAAAACACCCTAGTTTTGACATTAAAATCCCCAAGTTTTTTGTCCTCGCTTTTGTATAAATCGGTAAAAAGGACGATCAGATAATTTTTCCCCTACAAGGCATGTCGTCCGTCTCTTTTCCAAAAGTTTTTCAAAATTCAAAGAGAGAGACGAAACATTGAAGATAATGCAGTAAATTGGGGTTAAAGCCGAATGAATTGGGAAAAATCGAGTGGAAATCGGGAAATCGTGAGCTTCGTTGGGTGGTCGATTAAAAATTTAAGCCAACAACCACGTTTGTTTGTTATGATTATCAGTTTCAAATGGAAAACAGCGTTCATTGAACTTGACATGTCTATAGATTTTCTGTTTCTTTTCCCAGGCTTGTGAAAAATCTCAAGTTTATAAAAATAAATATGAAAGGCTTAATTACGGTGGCTTTACTCTGCAAAGTATAAATTTTGACCCCGTTTTGAGTTTGCGTTTGTGTGTGTATTCGGTGCCGTTAGTTGCTTAAAAAGCCAGTTGTTTGTGTAAAGTCGTAGTGTTTACAAGTGGCCAACGAATGTTGCCGAATAAACTGAAAAGCGTTTTCAAAATATGGAGGTTTTCAAGGTAGATTTTTTTCAAGACGAGATGTATTGATTTGACTTGAAGGCTTGGCCGGCGAATAAACGGACTGCTTCAGCTCCTATGTTGTCGCTCTCTGAATCATAAAAAGTCGAGACTTAATTTTCATGGAAATTTTCCAAATGACTGATTATTTACATATGCATCTCCAAATTTTGAGAAAGTCGCCAATCTTTTGCTGCGTAAATAGTGTCCGTGGGCCAGTTCCACTCAATTAGTGTTGGGAGTTTTGTGAGGCTCTAAACGGAAAGAATCGGGTTAGGAAAATTGAGCTGAATTGAAAAAGCCAAAACACTATTGATTATTTTTTTATACGTTTTCAAGTTCGCGAAACCGCTGACTCACCAGGATTTCTAACTACAAATGTGATCAGTGCGGGTTTCCACTGAAATTGTGCAACAAAGAAACACAGCAGTCAAAATGCTTCCCCAACAATATTGCCTCAGATGGAGGTACCATCATTCGAACCTGCAGACAATGTTCTCTCAACTCCTTGATAGGGAGGCCTTTTGTGATGTGACTCTAGCCTGTGAAGGTAGAACAATAAAGGCCCACAAAATAGTGCTCTCTGCTTGCAGCACCTACTTTGAAAGCATCCTTTCCCAATATGAAGAAAAAGATCCCATACTTATAATGAAGGATGTTAAGTATATTGACATTAAATGCCTTGTGGAGTTTATGTACAAAGGAGAAATCAACGTTGAACATGTAAGTACCCCACGTACTTACATCGCTTATAAGTAAGCCCCATCGTAAACATTGCAAGTATACGTAGATAGGCCCAAGACCTTGGTCATAGGATGTCGTTTGGGATTAACTGGAACCTCTTACTTCTTCATCATAAAAAACATTATATACACCTATTTTAGCAACCGATTTTCACTATTATAGGGAAGTGTTTACACCTAATTTTAGACCAAACAACCATTCACCTTGAGCTGAGATAATATAGGTAGTGTTTATTTGTTTCTTATCTGGTCGACCAGCTTTCCCAACATGGTGTTGTTAGTGAAATGAACATTCTTCAAGATTCTATATACAGGGTGTCGCATTTTCAACCTTTTTATAGGGCATCTCCGTAATTGATAGTGCTATAAAAAGTAGTACCTATAGATGACATGTGTTCTTTTTAGATCAAACTTAAACTGGTCAAAATTTGAACATTTTTGCTCGCTTAAGAACAACAACAACATCTTTCTTCGGTGAAAAGGCTATAAAGTACTAAAAATCAAATATAATAATAATATACTTGGCACTGCTGTTTTAAGAAATAATACAAAACTGCAAGCGATGTGCAAACCATGCAAGTATATACAGGGTGGTTCCAATTTAATCTGCGCGAATGTTCAGACATACTCTACACGCAAAAACGTTACGAAAATGTCATATACATTAGGGTTCAAAAGTGTCGGCTAACGGGGAAGCGGCTCTTAAAAGTGCGCTAACTCAACAAGTATTTATTATTTAATTTTCTAACGACAGAAGCTGAAAAGTTGAAACTCGGTATTCGTCTTAAGTATTCCAGGCTTCATAAGAGGGACACATCATTTAAGAAAAACTTGCTAGAAAAAATACGAGGTACGTTCCAAAATTCTGATTGGTCGCATATTTTTATAGCGTACTTTTGAAGAAACATCGGATATTTTTCCTAAAACTGCCTAGCTTTTAAGTAAAAAAGTGCGCCTTGAGATTTTTTGAAAAAGTCAATAGATTCCGAATAATTTGAATTTTCCCGTACTTACCTACATGTTCATGACCAAATCGACTGACTTTTTTCATGAGCTTTATTAATTCACTCTGCGAGATATTGAATGAATATCTTGCGCTGTAAAACAAATCAATTTTCTTTTTCCAAAAAGTAAAAAATTATAGATAGCGAGATTCAGTATTATGTTCCTTTGCTTTATTTCAGTACCTATTGAAAACGATTTTTTAATTTATTTTGTGATTATGAATAAAAATTTGGTTACAAATTAACATTATTTTCGTTCAACAACTCTATGTATCTTACTTAGTTTAAGGCAAAATATCCAAATACAAAAAACCTATTAGATCTGAAGGAATGAAATTTTCATGAAAAAAAAAACGCATTTCTTAAATATGAATATTGCCAAACCCGCTTAGAAGTTCTTTAGAATTCGTTAGAATATTTTAATTATCACTTTGACCAGTGGTGTGAACATAGACACGTTTCAAGATAATTTTAATTAGAAACGTATATATTCACTTATTAATTTTTACGGGTTTGTCTTAAAATGAAAAAAAAGTATCAGGTTTGATTTACAGCCAGCAAGTCCCTTCCCCTGTTTTTGCAGGACGCACCGTTTTCGAATGAAAAATCTTTTAAATTGCTTAATTGCACAGCTTTAATAGGTTTTAATTAACAGTCTAAAAATAGTAGAAACTGAGCATCAAGATTGCAACAATTTTATTTAAAAATGTTATTGCTACTCGCAGGTAACATCAGTCAAATTGTTTCAGTTTTTTATTGAAAACTAGAATCTGTAAATAACAGTTGGTTTTACTCATACTTTGGGCACGTTCTTTTTGTTACTTAAGCCATTAGTTAAACTAAAAACACTGATCTTTGATCACAAAATATGGATTGTTGTTAAGTTTTGTAAAATATTAGTTGAACATTCGAATCTTTACCGCCCTGTAGTTCGGAAATCAAGCAAAAACATACATAAGTTTTGAAAACAATATAAAACCTGTATGTAGATCAATGTGCAATCATCGATTCATTATGCAATTATTGAATATTGCTGTGTACTTACTTTTTAATTATCAAAAAGAGGAATTATACTCTTGAGTCAAATAAATATTTTTGAAGAAATTTGTTATTCAAATGAAAAAATTGAATACTGGATTGTGTAATTTAAATTCATAGGTTTCACATAAACGATACTTTTAAAATTGGTACTTAAGTACATATAAGATTATACATTCTCCTGGGTTTATTTTAGCATTTTTGTTTATTATCAGTCTACCAATTTAGTTTTAAATTATTTTAAAAACATTTTTTTATATGAAAGAAGCAGGCCCATGGTTAACGAGATTTAAAGTTTTAAAGTAAAGATTAATTACGAGTGTTAAAGTTTTAAAAAAATTTGGCATTTTCTCTTTAACTCGTACAGTTTATGAGATATTTTGCTCAAATTTTTAAGGTAGGCTAATGTTTAGACCCTTTGCCCGTAGCAAAGGCGACTGGTTGTGAAAACCTACAGGGTGTTCTTTTTTCTAGAGGCATACCCCCCCTTTTACCCCCCCGAACTTTTATGTGGTACGCCACTGACTTCGACCAAACGAATTTTTGAATCTGCTGTTCAATTTAAGAAATTTCTGATCTCTTGTTTTTTCGTATCTGTTTTCGTTTTCGAGTTATTTCGGTTTCTGGGTGATTTTTCATGAATTTTCTTATAATTTTTTTGCGTTCCTTTGAGCACATTTTTTTGTGAAGGAAATTTTATAATAAATTGAAATATTCCTTACATTTTTGTGTATTTTTATTTGGATTAGCATACAGCCGATAAACCTCAATTACTGTGAATTAAATGAAAATAAAAAATAATAAATTTAAAAGTTAACTCGTCAGCCATCCTTATTTTAACTTCAACTTGCACTTGAAACTTTCACAGAAGGAGTTGGTCCTCTACACGCCCCTGCTCTGTGTCCATAAGATTGTGAATCACCATGTATATGTTATTTTAAATCCGAACATATTTCAGTTTTCACTCATTCGATTCACTCGTGGTTTACCTAATACTCCTCGTATATCTTTTAAAATGCTAAATGTTTCACTAATAACGCTCCTTATTCGATGAGGCAGCTGCCCACTATTAATTTGTATATTCAGCCTAACAAATTACTCACTCTATCAACTTGATTTTGTCTTTGTTTACGGAAAATACCTAGATAAAATATTATTCGTGTTTTTCTTTTTTGAAGCTCCATTTTTAGCGAATAACGTTAGACATTTTGCAGTAGTATTTGCAGCAGTAAGGGGTAATTTTGCCCTAAATACACTAAAGTGGCTTAAGCCCAGTGGTGTCCCAGAGGTTAAGGTTAAGGTCAATATTTTTGACAAAAAATGTTTTACCGATTAAGCAGCGTCTAGTACATCTATTTTGTTTCTCAGATTTTTTCCGTAACTTGCTTCCTTTTCGAAGAAAAAAACCACTTTGTTCCATGTTCCTAAAACAGCATAATGAGTAATTAAAACCACTATACAATGCAGCAATTAAAATTACAGTCATTTACCTATTTTTTTTTTCGCACAGTTTCAAACTGTACCGATAAAAAAATGAATATGTGTATATAATAAACAAATTGATATTCGTGAACATTTCCAAAAGCTACCCAAAAGCTAGAAGTATGATCCATAGGGGTTAATAACGATTATCGTTTCAAGTGAGTAAATATTACACATGTTCCCTGAATATAATACCCGCATTCTATCATCAATTATCAAGAAATTATATGTTATTTTTATCATGCCGGGACTAGTATCATTTAAAATAACTTTGAGTGCGGACAAGGAAGTGTTTTGTTACTTTTTTAGTTCAGACTTTCACGTAATGCAATTATTGTGTAATTTGTTATTAATAGAAATCGTTTGTTTTGGGTTTTTTAAATTTTAAATTAAATTGAACGTTTTAAATTGCTTGTTCTTGTAAACGTCCAAAGCACCAACCGGTGGCTTTCACAGGTTTTGTTCAAATGTTTTATCAACAATATCTTGTTATTGTTTTTTTGAGGTTTAAAATATATTCTGAATAAATGAAATGAAAAACTGTAAAAAGTTGAGTGGTATGCGACTATTCTTAATAGTGATTAATCATTAAAAAGGACTTCTAATTGCTGTTGTTTTCTTGCGAAACTAAATTTGCATTGTTATTTTCCCGTGTTGACGCCACATGAATTTCAGGTCATTGAAAATATCAAAATCTAAACGCAAAAAATTCAATGCTAAGTTTATTGTTAATTTCCTTTAGTCACAGCCTACATTAAAAAAAAAACGACTCATTACATACAAGCTGTTATTTTTTTCTGGAAATTACTGTCGTTGAGACCGTTTTCACATTAGATAAGATTTATTTATAATTTCGGTTTCCTCGTTTCACTGTTACTGGTACACATTCCTTTCGCAAATTGTCCAGATTTTCAAGGTTCTTCTGTACAAGCAGTAAATTAAACTAAAATACAGTTAGGTTATATCTACAACGTAATGTGTGCTTGGTTTGAAAAAATTTTACAGTATTTCCCGTCTTTTTTCGGCTCCATTAATGATAGGCGGTATCACTCTAATGGACTTTTGCATGTTTCCTCGTTGCTTGTAATTATGTACTTGCAAATCATATTACAAGAGAATGAAGAACACTTGTGTATTATTGATCTGTTTTGAACATATTAAATATGTTCTTACTAATGTTTGATAAGTACCTTAAGTTATGATAATTAAATAGTAAAGATTCTCGGAAAATTGTCTAAATAAAAAAAAAAATTGATTATAGTAATTGAACTATTTCTATAAATATCTGAACAGTCAGTGCGGATCTCCGAATTACCTAGTCGATTATCAATAATTCCTGTCCAAACATTGATTTTTTCTGAATGTTGAAGGTCTTTTTTTCTAATACCGTGTAGATTTTTTGTGTCCAATTTTGACGATTTTCCTCACAATTTAACATAAGCGTTGATTCGTCAGAAAACAGTAGGTACTTTGCATTTTTGTTCAAAAGATTAATTATTTGTTCGTTAAATTGGATTCTTCTATTCGGATCATCATCGATGTGTTCCTAGATGATTGGTTTTATTAAAGATATGTTTTTGTGCCTTTAGAATTTGCATTCTTAAATTGAGCGCACATTATTGCTTATTATAATGCGTAATTATGTAATTTAAAGTGTTCATATTTCCCAAAGATGTAGTTGAGTTACTGCATATATTTCAAGTTAGAACTGTCGTCACTATACTCGTACGATACAAAAGTATAGAAAAATCACGCCCGATCTAACTGTGAGTAAGGCATTCCTATCAAGTTCCTGAATTGATTTTTTTGGTTTTGAACTTTTGTTTGGAAATAAATCACTGATAAAGTGTCACCTACAGATTTTTTTAGTTTAAAATGTAGTTAAAAAAAGTTATTTTCATTTCTTCAATAACTTTAAATGCTAGACATAAATGTTTCCGATACGAAGTGTTCAGGATTACAAGCGGAATTCAAAAATCGCATAAAATTTACATGTTCCATTAAGAAAAAAAGTCTGCTAATTCACAGTTAGATCGAGGGTAATTTGGTACCGAGTGCAACAAATGTTCTCAATATCCCATTCCTCACTGCATAATGGCTATTTATTTGATGTTACAGCCTCAAAATTCGCTCTGATCTAGTTTATTTCCTGTAAAAAAACTAAGGAGTTTTTAAAAGATGTAGAACCAACAGTTTAGCAGTTTGACATTATTTTTGTTCAAAATAAATAAACATGTAAATTCTAAAATAAATTAAACTTTATCTACTTAATTACTCACTGAAACAACTTTTTAACTATAACAAAATATTAACA